AGAATCACTGCATTAGCTGAAACCTTCCATACGATACAGTGTGACATAACTTTCACCACTTAATTGCTTACCGACACCTAAACTCGAATAATTCAGTCGGCACAGTGCATATATAAAAGAGCCGTTTAATTATATGCAGCACTTAGTAAGAAAGAACACACCAAACAAGTAACTTTTAAAAGAACCACACAGTCTTAGTTCGATAAGCTTACCAAGGCTGAAACAACAGTGTTTGAAAGAGCACCGCATACTACGATGTAAATAAACATAGCTACATACACACAAATTCCAAGTGATTATCATTTACTGCACTCATTAATACGATAATCTCGTTTTATGAATAAGTAAATTCACCGTTTTTCTAAAATATTGGAGTAAACATTTTACCAAAAAAAGCACATTTTTTTAGACTAATATGTACATATCTGCTTCGTTATTATATTATAGGCAAAATATGCATGGACGGACACTAACTCAGACATTATTTGAACGCATAACGAATGAATAGTTTCTATCTAAATGTGGTTCTAGAATATAATGGTTCTAATAAAACTTTTATATTCTTTTCACAATTATTCTAGAATACTAATAATAAAAAAAAACTTTTCATATAAACATAACTATAGCGAAAGCACACTAATACGTACCTTTTCCAGCATAGGATCTGGCGAGTTCTTTACAGTCATAGTCAGAGAAAAATTTATAAAATCAACACTGTAAAAATTACATCTTATTTTTAAGGGTCATCATATTATTCTCTCATTCACAAGAATACGTGTTCAACAGTCTGCATTCCTAGAAAGCATTATTTCTCTCTCTATAAATATATCGAATTCCAACCTTCAAAACACAGAATATATGAGGATAAAAGGGTTAGATAAACACACTTTCAAGTTTTGTAGAGAGTGAATCTCTCCTTGCCTTGCTAACTAAAAACTACTTTCATAAAACCATTTAAATATCAAATTCATTTATATCTATAAACACACAGAGAGTCAAGATGGAATGATCAAGCTACCCGCCCCACTTAATTTGATCTTTGTTTTTTAATCCAGATATCATTGTGCTGATTTATATCATTAACATTGTTAAAGTTGACGCGCAAAGTAAAACGATAAAAATGTGATTCATTGATATTCTGAAATTTCTGGCTCCATTACATTCGTCTTCCGCACAGTAACATTTTTCCCAGTACACTCCATTTTCTTTATAGCCCCAGTCACAGCCCCAGTTATTTCCTCGTTCTGACACTTGAGCACATCGACGAATCACAGTGCGCCATCTACCGTCCCCTGTTACACCACAAATTCGACCATTAATCAAAAATGCTTGCTAAACAGAAAAAGAACAAATTACAAAACCAGTATTACTAAAACTACACGAATTTCTATGCAAGATATTTTCTTTCCAAAGAAGAAGAGAATGGACTTGAAATAATCTCAAGCTTTCACTACCCCAATACTTAAAATTGCTCTACCTAATGGAGAGAATTTATATATATATACTAAATCTTGCAGCTTCTTAACAATCACGGAGTTAACGGAAAATTAATTTTATTCTTGTATAAAGTTGTGAAATCTTTCCATTGATATATATATACTCAAAAGTTTTTCACACTTCATACATACATATCCACACACATATACTTACAAATAAACCCTCTAGGACTTTGTTGGATACTTTTGTAACAGAAAGTTCCAGGTGTTACAGCTTCTTCTCCAAGACAGTCAATTGCTATATTTCTCTCTGTATCAAAATGTTCGTAAGCTCCACATTGGTCTTCTCCATCGGATTCCTGGTCTGAGCTACATTGAAAGCAACGGATGGCACTGGCTGAAAAACAAACACAAAAAACAACAGAAGTCTACCACTTCCATGTCTCCTTTAACATGTGTCCTCCTGCAATTAATAAATATGTATGGTGGGCATTTTAGGGGTGTCTTAAACTATACATTGTTAAATAATCTATTGAATTTTCCAGGTAACTAATGAGAGATTGGAGGATTTATCTTACATATTGTCTAATGATGGTAAGTTTCATGTATTTCATGTACATAAACTACAGCAGGGCGTAATTATCCTGAACTGTTAAACTTGTAAATAAGGAAAAACTGTAATTCTTTTTATTTCTGTACAATTTCCCTAAGGGTAACTGGCAAGAGAAAGTACTTAACACCTGTATATGACCTGAATTTGCTGAAATTATAAATAATTTGACGCCCTTTTTATAAAAATAATCATCATCTTTTAATACTCCATTACGTTGATCCATTAGTTTCATTTAGAATGTTATTGTTACATTTTCATAAAAATATTTCATGAACAACGAAACTACCTGTGAACAGTTGCAATAAATTAAGCTGTAAAATAAGAATAAAGTGTAAATGTAGCGTTTTTTTGAGAAATTAGTACTTTCTGTAAATTACAAGCAAGAACACAATGTAATATACAAGATAATTATGTTTTTTACGCAATAAAATCTTAGAATACTTAACATTCTTATTCAAAAAATAAATGTGAAGCCCAATTTATAATTCGATTTATCACTTGTCACTGAGTTATACCAGTTTCTGTGAATTCCCTGCCTCATCAGTAAACCCCGGACAAGGGCAAATTGAAAGAATAAGAATAAACTTCGTATAGTGGTGGAGTGTATATTATATGTAAACAGTTTGTTGGCTGAATAATTCCAATGAATAAATTAGTAGCATCAACGTGTACATAAAATTACGACTGTTAATTTAAATCAGTACGCTCTAGCGTTGGTACGGTTGGTATACGTAACTCATTTAGAAATGTATAGATGGCGCGTATGTCACGTATTTCTACATAACCGTTACGTTTCAAACCAAAGTAAACTGAAATGTAACGTAGGACATTGATTTATTATGTAAGAAATTAATACATTCTAGGTTAATAAAACAAACAACCAAATAAAACATAATACAAATAGCTTTTTCTTTACGTTACAAATACTATACACCTTGCTAGTATTATGTCATTAATGAAATATCACACAGATACTTTTAAACATTTTAAATTTTAGTCAAAATGTTGTTCATACATTATATTTTAATATATATATATAGACGGAGCTAAATATGTATAACGCTAGTCCAAAAGAAGGCATAAAAATGATAAAGAGGAAATTTATAGTTAAGTCGTTAAGTTCATACTAGCAAAGTCAATAATATTTTTTTTCCACACAACAGCTTATTGAAAAATTGCTGAGTTACGAAATAAATCTAACGTTAGGCCTAAATATTCTTTTCACCTACCTGGCAAAAACGTTAACAGAATGATGAAATAAAACACCAATACACTGACCACAATAAAATACTTCATTTTTTTACTTTTAAAGACGTTTACTCACTGAAATGTCTTTTCAATAAAGCTTTTAAAATTCGTTAAGTGATAATTTAACTGTGCAGATTGACTTCAGACGTTTAGGCTACTCCACCCAGCAATGTCCTACCTATCAGGTGTGCACTATTTTCGTACGGTTGCAGGTAAGATGGCGGCGAAGCAGTAACATATAACGTCGGGAAAGCCTTGCGTGACTGCCACGGGTCAGTGTTTGTGGCTTTGAACTGCAAAGTAACGCTACGGCGGAAGCACGGTATCTGCATTAGAATAAATAGGATACTCACTTTGTACCGGAGTTAGAACTTAATCTTCTAACCACAAATATGAAAGTTTTGGTTTTTGCTTGTTTAGATCAAACTGAAGTCAACAGCCTCTTTACGTAAAATGAATGAACCTATCAAGAACACTGAATTCGGAAAAATAAGGTGACAAACGACTTGAATTATGCATAATAATTCTTTAATAAGATTCTTACTGCCTTGTTGAATATATGTGAGGCTGTGAAACACAACAGGTATTTTATTTACACAGATTAAATCAATACCGTGGAGGAGTGTTTCGGAATTACTGTGAACGTCATTGAAACTGATTTACAAACATCTAACAAATTGTATGTATAAAATGTAACTTAATTTTTCACTCAATTGAAGTTCATTGAAACTTAATGTCAAAAATACCCAGTAGCGCGTAATTAACAAAAATAATGCAGAACAACTGATTTCTTCTTTTCTTTTCTTTTTGTAGCCAAACTAGGATTTCAAATCAATTCTTCAGAAAGTCCAAATAAAGTGAATGAAATAAAACTAAAAGTACAAACTTTGTCATATTTTCGATTTCAGTTAAACAAAAGCTACTTATAGGAGATTATCAAAAATTATAAAGATTAAGTACTAAATCAATATTTTACGTGTTTATTTGAATAAAAAAATAAACAAGTACATCATCTCTGAAATTTAGACACTTCTATCATATAGAAATATCTTTCATAGAGCCTTGCAAAAACTTGTTGTTGTTTAAGTTAAAATGAGTGCTCTGAAGTGTAAAATTCAGGCGTATTATGTGTTTCCTACCTCTAAGCTAATATAAAAAAATCAGAATTTATTTACATATTGTTTGTGTATGTAATCTTGATATAGAATATTGGTCAAGGGAGCCACAAAGTTCCTTTCACTTTAGTTACTCAGAGAAATGGGTTATTCATTTAGGGTGTCACATACTCTTTCGTGAGACAGGTTACGTTACAGTAGGACATAACACATAGTAGAATAAATACTGTATAGAAATAGATAGATAGAGCTCGTCTTCCCACTGGCAAGTCAGGTTATGCTCCAAGGATATCACTTCCCATTTTGTGAATTGAGAGTGCCCGTCAGTCACGTGGACAGTGTCTGTGTCCTGAGAAGAATGGCATTGTTGTTTTTCGTATATAATTCTGTGTTTCTCAGCTTGAAACAAGATTAGATTTTTAACAGAAATATACATAGTTTTCAACAGATTCACTTGATTTACAGAACTCTCCAGTAAAAGCGCCATCCACAATACACTTGTCCTTGTTTGTTGTTTCAGAGTGTTGTACATTGTGGCCAATCGCTTTCTTATCTTCAAACTCATTTGAGGTCTAAGAATTCAGATTTTGGCTCTGCAAAACATTTTCTGACGAGAACCCTGTTATTCTGCTGTTTCCTACCCAATTACTCTAATGTAAATCAGTGAAACTTAGAATAACACAGAAATATGGTTGTATAATAAGGAACATTTGTTTACGTACTATAAATATTTTTCTGCACTGTCTTTTCGTTCGTTACTTGTGTGCTATATAGCAATAATAATATAAACATTATCCATTGGTAATCCTATACTGAGAACAAGCTGGTGTAAATGTTAGAGATGTAGCCGCAACTGCGAGAGAAAACACTAACGTCAAACAGTCAATGCTTGACAAAAATTGCATAGAAGTTAATCATACTCATCTCAATGTAATTTACTGTTAACATTAGAGTGATATAAATTTAAGCTTAAAATTCACTAAGAAAAGTATTAAGATATATTTAAAATGTTAATATTTTGGTAAAAGTGGGGGGATATGAAATATGTCACTCCATAAATAAAAACTGAGGATATATATATATATATTCTTACAATACCCTCTTTTTTTAAATACGACTCCGACTGGCAACATATATAATAATCGAAGTATTTAGCTAGTACATTAAATGTTTTATGCGACTTCTAAGGCTTTAAGGAGAAAGAAATAGCGTAAAACTAAATTGTATTTTACAACTTGTGAACAAAACACATTTTTGTGTACGTGAAAGTCTAAGCGCAATGTTTTCAAATTAAACATGGCTGTTGCTGCAGGTAATATATGACGTATAATAGAGATGAGATAATATTTGTTTAAAAACAACCAGTTGAGTGGAATTCAATAATGAGATCAAATATGTACAATACGCTTTTCTTTGGTAAAAGTTATTTTATGTAATCTATTATGCCTTAGCGATGGAGATTTCTGTCATCTTTATTATGATAAAAAAACAAACAAACACACACACACACACACACACACATCACTTACTCTCCGTTAGACGAGCATAAATGGTATGAATTTCAACACTGCATTCATCATTGTAATTCTATAACATTTGCAGATCATACCAATGACGAATGGGGTGCAATCGAACGAGACATCTTTTGACACTTATTATCGCGATAAAAGACGGCCCAACCAAATGTTAGGTGAAAGTACCCCTAGAGTGGTGGCTATTCCATGTAAATTCTGATTTCTTTAATTTGTAAAATAAATTTTTCATCCATTGGCTGTGTTTGTTTTACGTCCATTTTATCATTATTTTGAAGCAACTGACGCTCGAGAAAGAAACGGAATCACAAAATATAATAACATAAATTAGATTTTGTTTGTTTGTTCTTAGAGTAAATTCATGTTTGGCTATCTGCCGTGTCTACCGCAGGAAAACGAACCCTGGATTTTAGCGTTGTAAGTCCGTAAACTTACCAAGTCCCATCGGGGGACACATAAGTTAGGTTACAAAATACATACCAATGCTAGTTGGAAGCAATAGCTTACGAACATATTGGCTTTTAGGACAATAATAGAAAATGAGTTATCCAATGTATACAAATTATCAAAGAGAGAGTTGATTTTTAGCCGCCTACACCAACTGATTGTAAAGCTCAGAGGTTAAAAATTAATATTTTAGATTAATATCATTGTTTTCTAGAAATGCTGTTAGTTCAAGAATAATAAATATTAAGGTTTATAAACAATGAACAACTATATATATATATTTTAAGCATTATTTTACTCGAATGTTCTCATTTATAAACGTGGTACATTGTGGAAATGTCGAAGAAAATATCTGAAAAACAAGTGCTTCAGTGACTCATACGATTTATTGTTACATAAATACAGTTTTGCTACAACAAGACGGTACCGGATAAGTTAATATTTCAAAGTCACGAGACTTTTCTTTCACCTAAGACAGGTATAATGTATATCTACGCGCCCAATGACCCAAAATAAACCTGAGGAGATAGAAAAGAACAAATCTGAGAAAAGACGAATGTAGTTCCTTAAGTCAAAGAAAATTGGAATAAGGAAGTGATATCAATACGCAATATAAAATAAATGTTAAGTGTTATATAGAAATTACATTAATCGATGACAATGGAAAATCGACGTAACGAGTACAACTAGCTATCACATGAGTTAAGCCTATATTGTTATAATTAGTCTTGTTCTCACATAATCTTTCGACCACGTAACAACATCGGATCCACAGTAACGTCAAGACTCAGTCGCTCCATTGTTGTAGCTTTCTGCTACTTTCTTACTTTTCGAAAAAATCTCAAGGTGCTAGCAAAGTTTCCATGGTGTTTATATAGAGTAACGAATTATACAAACGTCTTTATCACGTTTTGTGAAATTCTTGTAAAGTTTTAAAATGGACGGGTATTATATATCTGAATCCGGACGGATTCTTTCAAAAAACAAGTTTTCGATATCACAGCAGTTCAGAGTTTCTGACTGACAGTTTCTAAAAATCGCAGTCTTACCAAAAAAAAAAAAAAAAGATACATATTTCTATTATAACTGACTCCAACTCTATCTGTATAGAACACTACACAATTTATATGACAAATTGTCGTATATTCTTCTCAGAAATAAGCCAGCACTTGTAGACTATTCAGGCACTGTCTTATGGAAGTCAATTCATTTTGCAATTAAACTGTAAACAAAACAATGTCGCATCACTTAAATACAGACTCGTTCTGTAAAAATATAATGGGTCAAAACAAAGATTACACTTAACAGAAACAAAAGCTTTGGTAAATTTCTGTATACACTGGTAGCACTATTACAACCGTCTTTGCTATTACAGGTGCAAGTTTCAACAAATACGTCAAACGTTCCTGTTCTCATGAGACAGTAAGATTCATCTCCAGTTCCTTCTCCAGGTGATCCCAAGAAAGCACAAGAACGAATATAGCGCCACTGTCCATACACTGAAAAAAAAAAGTGACATTACAAAATAATAATAATATTATTTCATAACTTTGTTTAACGCAAACTGGAGTTTATTATGTGTAATTGGCAGGGGCCTGGACATGGAGTTGAGTGCACGGTGATTGTAGTAGGCATAGGTCTAGGCACCCAATCAAGTGGGCCTGGGCACACAGTTATTATGTAAAAATCTGTAATAGCGAAATATTGAGCTAATAAAGTTACATTCTGAAGATATAGGTCGTGATTTTATTTACGTTTATGGAAATGTCTGTCACAAAATTGAAAGTAATACTTCGATTAAGCTTTCATACACTACGGATGACCCCACCCCCTTATAAAAGTTTTGGGTTTTGGGGTCACACCCATTAGAGTTTTTCAGTCTCTTGTCCAGCGCCGCAGCAAGAAATCTCGGGGCCTGGGTGCAAGGAGGTGTGTGTACTGCCTTTATCTGTTTTTCAGTTAGAACTTATTGTGTCTCTGTTCTTGTTTGCACAAAAATTTGAAATCTCAACGTTTCCTGTTCATATTTATATTCCAAAATTTACAACTTAATATTTTATGCGTCACGTAATGTCAGCTTTAGTGTTATCTTAAAATAACATAATGTGGAGACATGTCAATGCTGTAGGACTTGTAATATTATAATGATTCATTTTGTATACATTCCTATTTTACTCAATTCATTATTTCGTTCTTGCTTTCGGTCTATGTGCACGGTTTTTCATTATTAAGCGTCCCATTTAGATATCACCTCTGTAGAGGTGTAACTTCCACAAAATGATTCGTGCTCTGTGATAAAAATGAGTGCCCAGTTAAATTTCCCCCAAAAAATCATTGTAATATACATTCTAAGCCTTTTCTTCACATACATCTTTGTATAAGCTACACTAGAATAAAGTTTTTATTAGTCAGTTGTATGATTAATTGTATATTAAAATAAAAAATAACTATAGATTCTAACTAAAAAATAACTCTAAATTCATGAAACCGATTTTATCTAACAAAGCCCCCAGTGTCTCAGCCGTAAGTCTGAGGGCTTATAACGCTAACAAATCGGGTTTTGTTACCTACAGTGGACACAGCACAGATGGTCTGTTGAGTAACTTTATGTTTAACAACAAACACATAAATCCTTTTTAAAAGCATTTTTCACAAAATTAACACATGCACGTTAGTTTTGATTCAGCTGGGTAGATTTAGGTTAGTCCAAAATCCATATACGAATCTAACAATGAAAATATACTTCTTAAGTGTAAAAGTCAATAACAATAAATAATAGTAATATTCAAAATTATTTGTAATATTATTGTCGATAATATTAATGAAACTAACTTGAAGGTGAAGTGGACATGTCATGAGTTACAAAATAAAAAAAACTTTAAATACCAATTTTTCATACATATGTTTTATCACTGATTCTCTAAAAAAGGGTGTAAATTTAGACATGCCAGCTTGCTAGTAAATAAAAATACTTGAAAGAGGGTAAAGGTGTGGATATGATCATCTATTTATCTATCTAATGTTACCTTTCTGGCGCATTTTTCTACACATTGTGGCTTTCATTCCTGGCAAGTGTTCGAAGGAATAGACACTGCAGTCAGTGATAGGAAGAGAGGTGTTATCAAACGGATCAGCACATCTAGGATCAAGATCAGATCGACATCTCCAGCATTTAATAGCCGATACTAGAAGCAGGACGGATGGAACATTTTGAGAGAATATCGTGACAAGACAACAAAAAGTTCATTCGTTTTTTAAAGTTATGATAAAGTAGTTTCTTTAAAAACTTTAACCGAAGGTTGTTCTCACACACAAAAAAGCCACTAATATATACTGTACTTAACTGTCTTAGGCAAGTTAAAATCAGAATGAATTTATTCGCACGATTAAGAAATAAAAAAGGAAAAGTTAAAGTGAGTTTATAGATTGCTAAATACGAAACAGCATATACAGTATTTTATTAAAGTACAAAATTTGCTTTTGAAAGGAAAATATTTTTTGCCAGTAATTTCGTTAAAGCCTATTACATGTTATTATTATTTAATTTTAATGTTTTGCTCATCATAAGTTGTTAATATACTTAATCTAAGGTACTTACAGATATTTAGACAAATTTCAAAATTATAATGCGTATACATATGATGAAAAAGTACGAAAATAATATTTCGTGGAACCTTAAAAAATACATGTGACAGTCAGCATCAATTTCATAATAAATAAGCGCAAGATTTATAAAACATACTACATTATGCATCATTATAAAAACGATGTTTATTATCTTATATAGAAAAATATTTTCATCCCTAAAATCGAATGCTTTAAGCTTCTTCTACACTTTAGGCTAATTTGTGTGGTTTTAGTTACATTAAAACATATGTTTAAATAATCGTACAGGTGAAACAGACCATAGTTACAGAAATGATTTAACCGGAAAATAATTTTAATTTTATTCAACACTGCTCAAGCATTGAATACGTTTTTGTGGAAGGAGATACTTGTGTAACACAGACAGTTTTATTAAATATTTGCCTTACGGTGGCTCAGCGGCAAGTCTGAAGGCTTATAACGCTAAAATATATCGGGTTTTGATATTCGCGGTGACTACGGCACAGATAGCTCATTGTGTAGCTGTGTGCTTAATAAGAAACGATTAAATATTTTTACTCTAGAAATTAAGAAACGTTTGAAAGATATATAAATTCTCAGTGTAACATTTCAATTTTGCAATTGTAAGTTAACGAATTCACAAACATATGAAGTGATAAATTCTAGAAACTTTTGAGTGAAAGTGAAGAGTAATAATGTATAACAATATGTTAATCACATTATATCTGGGATAGTTAAGACTGGAATTTGTTAAGTAGTTGCCTAAATTACATATAAACAACTTTGCTTTGTTGTTGTTAAGCGCAAAGCCATACAATTGACTGGATATCTGTGCTCTATTGTAACTCGATTTTTAGCGTTACAAGCCTTCAGACTTACCGTTGAGCCATGGGGGTGGGGTGGGGGGGTGACATATAAGACAAACCACTCATGTGATGAAATAACACTTCTTTAAAACAATTCCTTAGAAAGTGAGAAAATAAGATAAATTATATCACTGTTTAAAAGGCATAAACTTCTTGTACACCCCACATAAAATAATATTATTAGTAAGTGTTCTCAGTTGTATCTTATAGTTACGATCATTTGAGGAATTTATATACTAGCAAAAATATAACAAGGTAGATATAAGTTTACATAAATAGAAAACAAATTACATGTATTGGCTTCCTTCAAACGAGAAAATATATATATACTACTAGTAGTACGTGAAAGGACTTTAATACGGATCACTTTTCAAATAAACAAATATATACTTAGGTATGTATGTTGATAGTATTTTGTGGTATTCATTGTTTTTGTTTTATAGTTTTGTATTTATTCATTTAATTGGATGCAGAATATGAATTCTTTTTTGTAACTACTCATCCTAATTTATCATTTAACTGAACATTGAAAGATCGCTATATCTGAAGTGCCTGAGGTACAATTATTCCATTTAGAAATAGTTGTTACACTGTTTGGGCAAAGGAAACTTTATTTACAATAGCTGAGTTTCACTTCGTCCAGCAACGTTACTAATTACATATATACGTTAGGTTACATAGCCTACTTGCTAATAGTAATATTAAGGCTTGGAGCGCGTCGTTTTGAGTTTGAGTTTGACTTTGAGTCTCTTCTACGTTCCACTGATCCCATTTACTATCTCGGTAACCCTAATAACATCAAAAGCACTTACCTTGAATGGTCAGAAATACTACAACAAATAAAACTGTAACGCTTAAAATAATTTCACGGATCCTCAACATTTTAAATTGTACTCGTGAACTAAGTAAATGCCTGAAAATCAACACTCCCTACAACTAAACCTTAAACGTAAAAGACTTGCATGTATACCGTCACATTCCGTGGAGTTTCACGTGACTCTAACACTGAACCAATAAAAAGTGCTTGTCAGGAGTTTCGCCATTTTGTTACGGGAACACACCTGTCATAGCCAGTTATGCCAGTAAGTGTGTATAGGGAAAGCCAAAAATTGTAAAAAAACAACAGTTTGCATTAATAAAAGCTAAATTGTCATATCTATAAAATAAAAATACTGCATATCAAACAATATTTTTTAAAGTCATCTTAAGAACTTGCGTCACTTCTTTTAGAGAATGAGTTATTTTCATCAATGATAGATATAAAATATGAATAATATTTAAGAGTTACTTCTTACTGTGCATAATAATTGAAACATAGCATCATAAAAAGTGTACGTCATTTGTTTTTATGGTTTGAGTTATTTTCTTTAATGATATATACAAAGTATGTAAAAGTAATTTTCTACTGCGCGTAATAACCTAAAAGTAATGAATAGCAGAGCAACAGCAACAAGTGTAAACATCTTTAATGAATATTTCGGAATTACACATATTCCATCTTCAGTAAGTTTATGAAGATGACAAATTGAACATTCTTTAGAACATTTACTAATATAAAAATGCAATGAATGGTGTCAGAAAAATTATGAAACATTCAATTAAAGAGAGAGAGAGAGCTATTTGAATAAAGCAAGGGGGAACGAGTTTGAATTTCTATTGAGGCTTGGATTTTTGTTCACAATATGTAGTTCATGATAAGCATATCCAGAAGTTAGAATTGAAAAGTTTTCTAAGGAAATGGAGTGGGATGACGTTTCGTTGTAAGAATATATTTTCAATTTCATAACGTAAAATTCACTTTTGAAAGTGAAAATCAAAACAAATATTCTTTTCTTGACGTTCAAGTTCAAGAACGAGACAAAGAATTTAGCACCTCCGTTTACAGAAAGAAAATGTTTAGTAGTTTGTACTCAAGCTTTGAAAATTTTCTGCCAAAAACATTCAAATTAAACTCAGTCTTAATTCTTCTTTGTAGGGCCTACTCGATCTCCTCGGATTACATCTCTATTCATAATTAAATAATTTTACTTCAGAACACCTTAAGAAAAAATGGGCATCCTTCATCCTTAGTAGAAAGAAAACATAACTTGTAACTTTCTTACTAAGAAAATAACTCCACCGAATAATATCCAAACATGTTCCAAATTCCCTCTAACACTTGTTATTCCTCACCTTGGAAAACAGTTGTATTGTTAAAACTCAACTCAACAAGCTACTCATCTTCTATGCCCAGATTAAACTCCGTATTGTCTTCAAATATACATGTAGTAGTTGTAAAGCCATCTACAAAAGTAAGAGTTCTCGTCATTTACAAATACGCGTCTTGGAATGGAACACATGGGAGTTTCTAACAGAACTGGACTTAAACTTCAGACTCCACTTAACGCCCCTATATATTCTCACAACAAAACGTCACCCCACTTCATTTTCTTAGAAGACTTTTCAATTCTAACTTCTGGATACAATTATCACAAACTATTGATAAAAGAAAGTCTAGATATTATGAACGAAAATCCAAGCCTCAATAGAAATTCATACTCTTTCCCCTTGCTTTATTCAAATAGCTCTCTCTCTCTTTTTAATCGAATGTTTCATAATTTTTCTGACACCTTTCATTGTAATTTCATATTAGTAATTGTTCTAAAGATTGTTCAATTTGTCATTTTCATAGACTTGCTGAAGATGGAATATGTGTAATTCCGAAACGTTCATTAAAAATATTTACAATTGTTGCCGTTGCTCTACTATTCATTATTCGACTTCGTTTTATACCAAATGTATCAATAACTTAAAATAATTATTATATTTTATGTGTACTGATTGGCAATAAATAATAGGTAAGTACAGTTATAAACCTGGTGATCAGAAATCGTGTTTCAAAATGCTCTATATGTTACCTATTAGTTACAAATCGGAGATAATTCGAACCGTTTTTATTTAATTTGTACAAATTGTTGTTGGTTTGAACTTTCAAATTTTTATTAATAATTTTTTATTTAGATAAGATTGTTT